AAACAAGGGTGACACTAGGTCACTTTGTAGGGGAGGGTGTGGTTAAGACAGGCCTCATGTAGCCCAGGCTGGCCCGTACATATCTGAGGGTGACCTCAAACTCCTGATCCTCCTGCCTCTTTCACCCAAATGCTGATGTCACAGATGTGTGTCATGAAGTATGGTCTCATGGGAATTTTAATGAACATTAAATGAAAACCAAAAGGAAAATGAAAAACTGCAATATGCTTGCCTGGTCTTAGGCTTCACGACGCTGTGACGTTGTGTGTGAAACATGTCTCATTTTATGAGTTACAAATTCTGTGAGGATGAGGGGATCTCAAATCTCTCATTTAAGATAAGAAAACACCCCAAGGTAGCTATTACCTTCTTTGTTCCGAGAGACATGCTCTTGAATCTACAATGTTAATATTAAACTGCCAAACCTAGCACTAGCCATGGCACATGATCCGTAATTATTTATGAAACCAATGGCTAGTGCCCTCTGCTATGACACCGTGTATACACCCGTCAGACAGGGTAACAGTCTGACATACCTCGGTCTTGGAGGATAGTCTGTACTAGTTTTGTTGGGGTTTTGCTTGTTTTGTTGTGTTGTGTTTTGCTTGTTTGGTGGTAAGGGCCGACAATGGACTAAAGGCCTTGTGAATGAGAGGCAAGCATCACTGAGCTACAGCCCACTTCAGTCCAGGCATCCTTTAGTGGTATTTATGCCAGAGAGGATAGAGGAAATCCATGCCACTGGAATAGTTTGTAAAACATGGTTGGGTATGCTGTGAAAGCCATTCTGCATAGTAAATATTTCTCTGCTTTGGTAAACAGAACAAGGTTCATGGAAAGACAAAATAACCGCATTCAGTTTACTGCTGTAAAGAGTATTTGTTTGCCTCGCAAAAACACGTCTTTAGTGTTTAACTTGAGTCCCTAATCTAATTATATTTATTTTTCTATTCATGAACAAAAGAAATTGCCAGTGGCTTCCACTTTCTATAAAATAATGTCTCAGTGTGATCACTTTCGTTTTCATATAAAAGACCAAGGCGGGGGCTAATGCAACGGCTCAGCAGGTAAAAATCGCCCGCCACAACCCCAGGGCTCACATGTGGGAGGAGAGAATCTAGTGCTGCAAATTGTTCTCTGATATCCATGTGTGTGCACACATGAACAGGTGTCCAGGCATGTGTGTGCAAACACACACACAAATAAATAAATAAAAGGAGGGGGAGGAGAAGAAGAAATCACCCAAGCATTAGAAGAAACCACTTGATATCTCCAAACAAAGACTGGTTAAGAATACCGTCAGACATTCAGGGATTGTGTGTCACAACTGAAGCCAACCATTTCTGTGTGCTTGCTGCACACTTGCTGCAACCAAAACTTGCTGCAAGACTGAAAATCTGTGGATTACAGCTTGGAGTTTCTGTCATGTTTCTACTGGGAGAAACTGGCTCCTGACCTCCCAATTCTGATCCCTTGGGGACCAGTAAGATGGAATTCTGATGTATAGATAGCCACTCATACTCTGGCTGTGTGAACCTCTTCATAGAGATCACCATTCCCCAGCATGCTGATCACTATTATTTCTCCTTTATAAAGCAGAGCATTAAGCCATGACTATATAACACCCAACCCTTAACCATCTTGGTGAGTGCATGGCTGGCTTTGTCTGGGGCATTTGTGCTATTTGCTGCTTTAAAGGGACAACAGCAACTATTGCAATGCAAGCACCTATATTCTTAGTGTTTTTATAAGCCAATAATGTTCACATGACCTTCCTATATTAGTGGGAGAAATTGGTTTAACATTCTTCAGGGTGTGTGTGTGTGTGTGTGAGAGAGAGAGAGAGAGAGAGAGAGAGAAGAGAGAGAGTGGTGTGTATGAGTGTGTGTGTGAGTATGTGAGTGTGTGTGTGTTACTACAGACCAAATCCAAGACCTTGTGCACACTAGCCAAACATTCCACCACCTGTCTACAGCACTACAGCTACAGACAGCCTAACATTTCTGTTGGTTCATAAGTTACCTTTATTTTATGTGTATACATGCTTTGCCTGCATGAATCTATGTGCCTTGTGCATGACTGGTGCCTACAGAAGCCAGAAGAGGGCATCGGGCGCCACAGAACTGATGCTTTAGCCATCATATTGGTTCAAGGACTCAAACCTGGGTCTTCTGGAGGAGCAGCCAGTGCTCTTAACCACTAAGCCATTGCTCCGGGTTGTTTGTTTATTATTCTTTATGTGTGGTTTTTTGAGACAGGGTTTCTCTGTGTAGTCCTGGCTGTCCTAGAACTCACTCTGTAGACCAGGTTGGCCTCAAACTCACAGAGATCCACCTGCCTCTGCCTCCCGAGTGCTGGGATTAAAGGCATGGGCCACCACCTGTAGTGAAATAGTTCTGTGGCACTGACCACGCCCATTGGGGGGTGGAGCCATGGGCGGAGGTGACCTGTGGAAGGAGGTCGGAGGGGGCCAGGAAGGCGCTCTCTTTTTGGCGTGACTCGGACAGGAGAGGATTGGGTTGAATTTCCTGGTGTTCATCTGTCTAGGTTGTAAGTTATTTCTCCCTGAATAAACATCTATTCGGCCTATTTGTTTATCCTGAACCTTATTTACCACGATAACCACCTCTTGGCTTCTCATTATCGTTTGACATAGTTTCTCCTGTAGGTCTGAATGACCTGGAGTCCCTGTTCCTGCTTCGCCTGCTTCTATCTCCCAAGTGCTGGGATTACAGGTGTGCACAAGCACACATGGTGCCAAGCCTAACATTCTAACATGACGAAGGACTACTATTTCCTTTTAAGTGCATGAGTATCTTGACTGGATGCTTGTACCACATGGGTGCAGCACCTGTGGGGACCATGAGAGGGTGTCAGATCCCCTACAACTGAAGTTACCTGACAGAAATTCAACCTGGGTCCTCTGGAAGAGCATCATGGACTTTTAACCAGAGCAGCATCTCTCCAACCCAGGAACAAAATTACTGACAACACTGGACGATCACAAACATTCCGATCACAAAAGTATTTCTAAGCATTTTGAAACAAAGCATTTGTGTTCATTTCATTAAGTTTGTCCTGACACTTTTATACATGTATAAAATGCATTCTGAGTGATGACACTCCCCAGGCTCTCCTATGCACCTCCTCTAGAAATCCTGCTAGGTCTTTCTTGTGTGCCCTGCTGAGTTTAACCAGGGCCACCTGTGTGATCATGGGGACGAGCTAACCATCAGTCTGGTGGACTCATGAGACAATGAGGAGACTAAACTAAACTGCTTTAACTCATAATGTTGAACTGTTCAAATACGGTTTCTCTTAATTCCTTTCTTTTAGCTTCTTATTTATTTATGTGTGAGTGCGCACACATGAACATATGTGTGCAGGTAATAGGATGACCTGTGGGAATCAGCCCTCTCCTCCCACCACCTGGGTCCCAGACTCAAACTCAGGTTGCCAGGCTTGGCGGCAAGCACCTTTACCTGCTGAGCCATCTTGCCCGTCCCAGGCTTCCGATACTTTCAACACACCACTGTTAAGAAAACGCTGCTTTACTTTTCCATAAGCACAACTTTGGCAGTGCTTTCATTGGAATATATTACTAATTCCCAGTTGTATTTTCCTTGGCAACTTCCTTCAACAAATAAGACTGTTCTGTAAACAGTATTGTCCCTCCCCTACTCACCTCTCTCCAGCTGATGGGAAAACAAAAACAATGTTATAATGCATAGCCCTGCTGGCCTGGAACTTGCTATGTAGACCAGGCTTGCCTCAAACTTGTGCTCCTTCTGCCTCAGCCTCCTGAAAGCTGGGGTTATAAGCATGCTCCACAATGCCTGGATGGTTAACAGTTTTATGAAGGACCAAACAGGTCTTTTTTTTTTTTTTTTGACACCTTTAAAACATTAAGTACCTCCTTCCTTCCACTGTAAGACCTCGGCATGCTACTAAAAACAAACACTGGCTCTATGAATATCAAATTCACAAGGTTCATCAGTCACAAAGTGACATGTTGCACTATGGATAACATATTCATCGCTACAATGAAACTATAACAAAACATGAAACTATTGCTATTGTTATTAATAAGCCCAAAGCATAGCCATCCTACTGCCGGAAGCCCAATCTTTCAGAGAGGGGGGCCTCCCAAGAAGACGACGTAACAGGAAGCATGTGCAGACATGGGGAGAGAAGGGTAAGGGAGAGAAGAAATGGCCATGTCTCTTTCATTACAACATACAAAACAGGAAATTATGAAATCAGTTACCTAATATTTATTCATATTTCATATAATACTTACTAAACTCACCAAGACTTAAACAAATATTGGGCAGGGATGGAATAAAAAAGTGCAGACAAGAGATAAGAAATCAACTTTGAAGAGGCAAAAGGAATCATATTACTAGAAATGCACACAAGGAATGGAGAATTGTGCTGTGTCTATGACCTCAGCCCTCAGAGACAAAGCAGGAATGCTGTTAAGTTCAAGGCCAGCCTGAGTTACATAGCAAGACCCAGGTTCAAATATCCCAGCTCAGCAGCCAAATACTTGCCTAACATGTACATGGCCCTGGGTTTGAACTGCAGCATCATAAAACCTGACCGGGGTCACAGAAAGATAAAACTATTGCCATCAGTCCTCGAATAGACTGTCTAGGAAATCCTGGTTCCAGACCATGTCCAGGAAAAACTTATTAACACTGTCACTTCCAGTTGACCTGGAGCCAGATATCAAGGCTGGAAATGAATGCAAACCATCAATCTACCTCCTCAAACTAAACTAGAAGGCATGCAATTATCTAGAGTAGGATTGCGGATACCAGCCACATCGCATTTGCTTGACTGAGTAATGGAAGCTAGTGCTAAAGTTTCAAAGGATCTTTAGACAGTCCTTAAGCTGGTTTCTAGATGCACCAGCAGAAAAGCCTAATCTCACATTCTGAAACATTGTAAAGTGCATTCTAAAGAAGACTGTGTTGAAGCTTTATAAGTTACTTTACTTTTGAAAGCATCGGTGGCTCCCGGGGCGTGGTTTTTGTCTGGATGAAACTTCAAAGCAAGCTTCCTATAAGCTTTTTTCAAATCTTCATCACCAGCATCTTTCGTAACTCCGAGAACTTCATAGTAATTTTTACATTTGTTTATGCTGTGAACAAGAAAAGTATGATATAAATTTCAAGCAAGAGTACACTGTCACTATTAGAATGGTAAGGGTTGTGATGATCTAGCCAGGCTGTTTGGCTCCATTCTCTCCAGTACACAGACAATCCCTCCACCCACAAGAATGTCCACCTCATAGTTTATCAAAGCTCCAGGGGAGTATAGCTCATGGAGAGTACAGATGAAGGGCGGTACGCTCACTGCAGCTACAGTGGGAAAAACTCCTCAAAAGTGTGTCACAACTAAGAACTAAACATTGCAAGAACAGTTAGTGCACGGTGCAGATCTAGCCAAGAACAAGGGCAGGGCTACCCTCTGCACAGGAGCTGCGGTCCTGTCCCGTGTGAACCCAAGACAAGCCACTGCCACTGAGAATTTACCTGAGTACTCTAAAAGATCAGGGGTCCTGTGCTAATAAAACATTCGAAGGTGATAATGGGGATTAAAGAATACTTGTAACACCCAATTTCCATCAGGGCATTCCTAGTGACTACTTTAATGCAGTCCATTTCTCAGGTCTTCCCGAAGGTTTGCACACTGAAGTCTGGAGTGTTGAAAACATGCCAGGAAAAGCAGAGAAACAATGAAGGGGTCTGAGAATCTAGGATGGCAACACTCTACAACCAAATTACCTGGCACCCAAAAAGCCAAGGTAGGCGTAAGGGCAGAGCCCTGTGGCTGAGAGCACCCAGCATGCACATGTGTATTTCTTTGTACAATATTTTGTAACTTGGGCTGTGTCCCATATCCTGTGTCTTGAGAGCTTAACAACAGGCAAGCTACCTGGGGCAGCTGGTCAGTAGGGGCCAAACTTGGAAGAGATGGGGGAGAAAGGGAAAGGGGGACAGAGCCCAGGAGGAAAAAATCCCAGAGACCAATCCAAAAAGAGCTGAGGTGGGTTTCAGTGCTTGGCACTCAACAGGCACCTTGACTCTTGCTTTATAATGAAATCACCCATGGTGTACTGTGTCTATGGAGAGGAAACAAGAGAAGGGACAATTGCAGAAATTACAGTTTTCTTGGAGAAGCCAGTACTGTGGGGTGATCACCAAGGACAGCAGCCGCTGTGGCACGGAGCCGGCCTCAGTCTAGGAGACTCCCTACATGTGCTGTGGCAAGCTCATTGGAGCCTACAAGCCTGAGTCCCCAAAGCCTGACACTGAACTTCACAGTGTGGGAGGGATGCCAGCTTTGCTCTGGTATGATTTTGACTGTATGCTCTGATTCTTTCCTCTTGGAGTAGGAAAAGGACTGAAATTATTTTTCCTTCCTTCCTTCCTTCTTTCCTTCCTTCCTTTTTTAATTTTATTTTTATTTTACAGGAGTCCAAGGTTGACAGAATTTGAACTTTTATAGAGACTTTGGTGTTTTGGAGAGACTTTGGATATTTTGTTTTTTGAGATAGGGTCTCTCTGTGTAGGCCTAGCTGTCCTGGAACTCTCTATGTAGACTAGGCTGGCTTCAAACTTACAGAGATCTGCCTGCCTCTGTCTCTAGAGTTCTAACATTAAAGGCATTCACCACTGTGCCTGGCTGATTTTGTATATTGTAAAGAGACCGAAATTTTTAAGGCTTGAATTTTTAAAGACTTTGAGACACTTAAAGTTTTGAATATGTTTTATATTGTCATGCTGATACTGATGGTATCTTAGGGACAATAAGAAAAGTTATGGCTTACTGGTGGTGTGTTTGTGCAGTAAGTTGACAAAGGGTCAATTGTAATGAATAGTTTCATGTCAACTAGAATCATTTTAGAAACGGGAACCTCAATTGAGAGAATGTCCCCAGCAGACTGGCCTGTGGGCAAGCCTGTGGGACATCTTCCTGATTGATGATGATGGAGAGAACTCAGCTCACTGTGGATGGTCCCTGGGCTGGTGGTTCCTGGGTTCTATGAAAAATCAGGCTGAGCAAGCCATGAGGAGCAAGCCAGTAAGAAGCATTCCTTCATGCCTCTGCATCAGCTCCTGCCTCCGGATTCCTGCCCTAACTTCTCTGGATGATAGACTACAAGCTCTAAGGTGAAATAAAACCTCTCCTCCCACATTGCTTTTTTGTCATGGCCGTTATTACAGCAACAGAAACTCTAAGGCAACAGTGTAAGTCAAAGTCCTCCGGAGATTCTTTTTCCTAGACATGTTTAGAACTATGTGTCGGGAAGGTGTGGCGGCGGAAGGGGGACTGCAGAGCACCTACTACATGCCAGGTGCAGTCCATGGGGACTACAGGTGAAGAAACTGATTGGCTGCAGAATGTCACTCTAGTTTGCTTTCTGCTGTTGGGACCAAAAGCAACTGGAGGATGAAAGGGTTCGTCTTAGCTTATACCTCTGGGTAAGTCTACTGAGGGAAACCCTGCACTCAAGCAGGCACTGAAGCAGAGACCTCACAGGAACACTGCTTACTAACTCACGCACCCTGGCTCACTCATAATCTGCTGTGCAGTGGCAGCTTTCATAATATAGCCTAAAACCACTGCCCCCCCAGAAGGCTAGTGTAACCCCAGGTTAGGGTAACTAATGCTGTGATCAAACACCAGGACCAAAAGAAAGTTGGTGAGGTAAGAATCTATTTCACTTACAGGTCCATATAACAGATCTTCACCAAAAGCAGTGAGGGCAGGAACTCAAACAGGGCAGGAACCTGGAGGCAGGAGCTGATGCAGAGGCCATGGAGGGGGCTGTTTACTGCCTTGCTCCTCACGACTTGCTCAGCCTGCTTCCTTAGAGAACCCAGGACCATCAGCCTAGAGATGGCACCACCCACAATCATTAATTTCAAAATGCCCTACAGCTGGATCTTATGGAGGCATTGTCTCAATTGATAGTCCTTCCTTTTAGATTACTCTAGCATAAAATTAGCCAGCACAACTGGGCTCTCCCACACCGATGAACAATCAATATAATTCCCCACCGATATGGCCAAGGCCAATCGTGTCTCTGCAGACCCTTCACTGTGATTCATTCTTCCTTCTTGGTAGAGTCGAGTTGGCCACACAACTAGCTAGGAAAGTGACACACTTCAGTGTAGTGCTCCACCATAGGCTCACATAGTTGAGTGCTGAGTCACAGGGGCTAGGAGGCGTGGCTTTGTTGGAGTGGGTATGGCCTTGTTGGTGGAAGTGTGTTACTTGGGTGGGCTTTGAGTTTCAAACGCTCAAGTCAGGCCCACTGTCTTGCTCTCCCTGCTGCCTGAGGATCTGGATGTAGAACTCTCAGCTTCTTCTCTAGCACCACGTCTGCCTGCCTGCTGCATGCTCTCTACCATGAAGACAATGGACTAAACCTCTGCAACTGTACGCCAGCCAGCTCCAATTAAATGCTTTCTTTTATAAGAGCTGCTGTGGCCCTGGTGTCTCTTCACAGCAACACAACAATCACTAAGACACCTTACTTTCTCACATCATCAGCTACATGTTACTTTTCTCATGAGCAAATCCTGCCTACAGCAACTTAGAAAGCAGCCGGGTTTATTCTGACTCACACTGGTAGGGAAGTCCGTCACAGCAGGAAGGGGAGATGTGAAGCCTGACCGCCCTAAAGTGCAACACTAAGCACTGAGCAACGAATGCTCACCGTGCTCAGCCTTCTTCTTGCTAGGCAGACCAGACCTCAGAAGGTGCTGCCCATCCAGAGAGCATCTGCCCACCCCAATCAACCTACTATAGAAAATCCTCACAGATGTGCCCAGATGCACCTGTCTCCACGGTGATTCTAGATCCTGTCAAGTTGCTGGCTGAAATAAGCATTTGCCATGCGTTTAGTTTGTTCTTTTCTGAAAGAATCAAACTTTCTGCATCCTCAACAATAAAACAAACTTTTAAAAAGAAGTTTCAAAGGATAAGTCATTTACACACACGTGCAGTCTCTCCGTGTGCTCTCTTGGACCTCAGCCGGCAAGACCACAAACAGATACACACCACCCACTCCCGGAGCCTGGGCCAGAAGCACAAATCAAAGCAAATCTCCTTTCTCAACAATTTTAAAAGGCAGGGGTCCCCATCACCTATTTTGGAAGAGAACATTGCACATGAGGCCCACAGGACCTGTCTGGCCCACTGTTCACACCTTCTTTAAGTGGGTTGGAAGTATAGAGGCAGGAAAGGAAAGTCATTTGTCAACCCCCTCTCTCTTTGTAAATGTTATAGATGCTCATTTAAATTGATTCCAGTAGCTGGGGATGCATCTCAGTTGGTAGAGTGCCTGGCTACCATGCTGAAGCCACGGGTTCACTCTCCAGCATGGCATAAACTGGGTGTGCTGGCAAACACCTAGGACGCCAGCATTCAGGAAACCGGAAAATCAAGGTCATCTTCAGCTGCACAGAGTTCTAGACCAGCCTGAGCTATGTGAGACCCTGTCTCGAATAAATAAGTAGACTCTAAATGAACTGGTGTTTGGGGAAACACTTCTGGGTCAAGGCATCATTCGTTTGAAACAACTTTAATTTATCTTCCTCTAATTTAAAGAGCTGAAATGTAGTAAGACCTGTAATCCCAGTATTCTGCAGGGAGGCCGAAGCAGAAGGAACATGAACGAGTTCAAGATTAGTCGAGGCTATGCACCAAGAGCTGGTCTAAACAACAAACAAACAAATGGGCAGGGGAAGACATGGGAGACTGAATCGAATCTGAAACTCTGGTCACTGTAATTCAAACGAGACAGAGCTATATAGAAACAGGTGCAGACTTACAACTGCCTGTTAGACTCCACACTGACCTTACATGTTTAATACAAAACTGTCTTTTTTACAATGATGTATTAAAAACCAAATAAAATTCATTTTCCTCAATTTTTAAAACCGATTTCAATTCAAAGACACAGAGCCTAGTGGCACAGACTGCTCCCTTGCTAAGTTACACAATTTTTCTTTAGTCTTACTGTAAGTTTGCACTTATGCAATGGGTACAGGATCATTGCGTGGCTTCTCCCCATTGAGCCAAACTGTTACTGAGCAACTTGTTTGCATAATCATCCTCTCTATCTAGACAGTGTACTTTCCTAAGGAAAACCCCTTGTGTATACATAAAACAAAACATGAAATGACAAGTACAGGCTCTTCTCTCTGATCTGCCGCCTCACCAGGGCCACATTTATGATGTCTACTATGAATATATACATACACTCGCCAACTAGGCAACTTACATATAAGGACTGCCTGAAATATTTCAAATAACTTAGGGATTTCACGTAAAAGAATGTTTCATAATTGCTCCCAGAAGGGGATTTTACATATATAATTTATATTATATAGGTAAATGTAATTTATATTATATAGAATTAAAAGATGCAGTAGAGTTATTGGCTTAGACACTCAACCTGTAATGCAGGAGGTAAATCCTTCTAAAGTAATTCATTCATCCATAAAGAACTATGATCATAAATATGGCTGGACTCTCAGTCAATGCTAAATCCTAGTTCATTCCATTCCATCTGTAAAGAAACCCACGCTTTACCAGTCTCCTCAAACTTCAACCTCATCAACAGTTTTACCTCCAATCTCACAGCCATAATGGAAGTCTACAGACTCTTTCATTCTCAAGATGTCCCAAAGGCATGTCCCCTTGCCTTTGGGGAAAACAAAAACAGACACACATGCACACTCACACCAGTAGGAAAACAATATACTTCCCTTATTCATGCAAGTCCATCTGTGTGTGCTCTCACACATGCTCTCTCTCTCTCTCTGTGTGTGTGTCTCTGTCTCTCTCTGTATGTCTTTATCTCTGTCTCTCTCACTCTCTTACACACACATACACCTCAAAGTAGGGATGAGGAGATATAGATTTAAAATCAAAACAAAACAAAACAACATCAACAACAACAAAACAGCAGCACGGAATCTGGAAGAATAGAATTTTCCAAAATTTACAACCATAGTTCTGTTTGTTGGTGACACTTCCAAGCAAATCAGTGATTCTATTCTGGGGGGGGAGGGGTGTCACAAAAATCACCTACATTACAATTAAATGTGTAATCAGAAAAGTCAAGGAGGAACTGAAGAGATGTCTCAGTGGTTAGGGGTACTTGCTGCTCCTCCACAGAACATAGGTTCAGTTCCCAGCACCCACTATTGGAGAGGCCTGAAAACTAACACCCACAACCTTCTCTAACTCCAGTTCCTGGGGATCAGCCACTTTTTTTCTGGCCTCCACAGGCACCAGGCATGTGTGTAATGTACATATATACATACAAGTAAAACGCTCAAACATATAAAAGTAAATAAATCCAAATGGAAAGAAAGAGGGTTCATGGAGAGTGTCCTCCTAGTGTAATGTAAAGCCTACAGGAAAATACGACTTGCTTTAGGATATAGTTTCCGGAATTGTTTCCTTATAGCTTGTCCCCGAGAGAAGCCAGAAAGCAGTCTTTGTCTCCCTTATTCAGTTAAATGTGGTAAGGCGCGGCACATGGCTTCACTGACGCCTTTGAAATGCTTGCCACCACTCACACCTGTCCAGTGTCCTCTTTCATGGCTTTACCTGAAGGGGAAGAATTTCCCTCATTGTGAATTCAGACACTATGGTCCAGTCAAGCTTTAGCATTCACATACAGAGGGAAAAAATAAGACACGAATACATCAATATCAGATTCAAGACACTTTCCTTCCTAGATAAAAACCCGAGTCTCAAAGTACCAATCATACAAATGATGTTGAGGGAAACAAAGTGAAAAGGATGACAAAAGCAGGGTCCAAGGACAAGGGATGAGACTACTCTGCCCCCGCGTTAGCCATGCCTTCTTAGTTACTTCCCAATGCCACGGGATCCACTCACCCTGAGAGCTCGGGTTGGTCATCTTCAGGGTCCATCACCTGTAAGCTCCAGCTGCCCAAAAGAGCAGCAGCAGCCGCAGCAGCACACTTCCCTCAACTTCCGAAAGGAAACTAAGCCATCTATTCTGAAGTATTTCGTGCCTCAGAGCTTAGCCCATTTGCCAGAAAACCCTTTCTCCTTTATAACATTAGAAATGCTGTATTTCTAAAAGGGAGGTTCTGGAGGATCAGCGCAACCCAGCTCTACTGCACTGGGAGTAAATGGAGAGGCTCTGGAGGCAGAGAGGATCACCGTGGGGGACAACCAGAAGGGGCACTGTGGTGTCTGTGTACAAAGGTGTAGGGAATTTAGAGCATTGCTTCCAAACTTTTTTCCTCCTATGAAACTCTCCCGTTTTCAATTGCATATCACAACAAAGCAATCCATTCTTTCACTACTGCAGACCGAACAGTGCATAGCATCAATGCTGAGATCATCATTTTACAGTTGTGGCTTGTTACTTAGGAGAATGGAACCTTCTGGAGAGTTAGCTCCTAACAGGCTGATCTCACAAGGAAAATGAAGCACGGGACACCCAGGTAGCACCTTCATTTCCCTCCTGTTGAACTGCACTTCAAACACCTTTCTTAGGCATTATAACATCAGTTAGGCTCTACTGGAACCAATGGCCATGGGGGTGACAAGCTCACACTCACTCCTACCTGAGAACGCCATCTACTTGGTCTTTGGTGTAGACTTTCCCACCTTCGCCACTACTGGGCGAGCTGTCCTTTGTGCAGGTGGGCTTGCTCTGGTCGCCACTCCCTGGGGGTTTTCGGCAATGTGTGCTGTTTCCAGTGGTGCTCCCATTTTTCATAATTATTTCCAATAATGCTGCAGAAAATAAAGCAGACAAATTGCAATGTCAGCCCCCTCCTTTCCTTTTTCTTGGGGCGGGGGGTTATATTGTTTTGGTTTTTCCTTTGTTTAGACAGGATCTTGCTATGCATTTGGGCTGACCTAGAACTATGGGGCCCAAGCTGGTCTGAACTCTCAACTCTGCCAAGTTTCCCAGTGCTGGGACTACAGGCACAAGCTAACAACCAATTCAGGCTCTGCAATGTTTATTTAAATAAGAAACCTCCCACTGGGTGTGGTGGCCCACACCTTTAATCCCACCACTTGGGCTTAGAGGAGGCATTATCTGTGAGCTCCAGGCCAGCCAGAACTCACAAAACAAACAGTGAATATTGTGATTCTTTTAGTACAAAACTGTCTACAGAGCATTAACTGTCATTTCGGAGAGCTCAATAACTAGAAATCACTATCATCTAATTGTTATGACATGCTTATCACACAGTGAAACTACAGGTTTTTAAAAGATATTTCAAAGTAGTTAATGAGACTATTAAAAAAAAAAAAAAAAAAGATGGATCTCTGCGTTCTAGGCCAGCCTTGTCTACAGAGTGAGTTCTAGGATAGTCAGAGAGAGATACATAGAGAAACCCTGTCTGGAAACAAACAAAAAACAACAAAAAAGGCAAGCAGAAATCAGATCTGTTTATTTTTCAGCAGCAACAAGAGGAACCAAAGGACACGGAGATATGACTTTTTAAGTACGATCTTTAAAGTAGAAAAAACAATTGTCAACTCGAGTTGAACAGTAGTATTCTTTCAAATACACAAAATAGAAAGATTTTAAGAGGCCAGAGAGATGGCACAGCAGTTAGGAGAGCAGTAATGCTCTTCCGGGGACCCAGACTCAGCTCCCAGCACCCACATCAGGTGGCTTCACAGTCACGCTCTAGTTCCAGAGGAGCCAACACCTCCTGGAACCAGCATTGTTATAGAAAGATGCATCACTCAGGCATGCACTAAAGAAAGAATACTGTAATGTTTACATGTCAGACAGAATAAAATTGTGTCCATATGAGCAGAAATTACACTTTTATAATTGATTTATTCCTTAAAGGGGAGCACAGCTACTCCTAGGTTGTAGTCACTGGACACTAGTTGACTAGTTGGTTTTTGTTTTTGCTAGAGCTCAAATGATACAAAGTATTGGTATGGGAAAAGTAACTGTGACCTCTAAAGTAATCAGTGGTGCCACAAAGACTTGTCAAGCCAGCAGGTGAACAAGGGACCCTGCTCTATAGGAATAGTCAAACTACAACCATGTCTTTAATCCCAGCACTCAGAAAGGCAGAGAGAGGCAGGCAGATCTCTGTGAGTTCCAGGACAGCCTGGTCTACAGAGCTAGTTTCAGGACAGGCTCCAAAAGCAATACAGAGAAACACTGTCTCAAACAAAAACAAACAAAGCAAAACAAAACAAAAAACCAAGAAACAGTTACTTAAAACAACAGAGAGTACCATACAGAGAAATAAGACATATAAAGGTTGAAATTTTCAAAATTAAAAAATAAAAAAATTTTGAAGGAAAGTGGCAGATACTGATGATGAAGAAAAGCCAACACATGGGAAACAGACATCTTGAAAAAAATATAACCAACATACAGTAATTAGATGACTTCTGACATAGCAACAAAAATAAAAATATCTAAATGACATAATAAAATACCAGAAATTCTAAGAGGAAATAATACCTGAGATACACTCAAGTAAAATTGCTGTGTATCCACACAAAACAAACACAGAAACAAAAAAAAAAAAAAAACCCACACTTAAATGAATGAAAAGTGAGACTGTTCTTAGACTTTGTCCATCACTGGCGCTCACACAAGACCCTGGAGTATCTTGCATACCCAAAAAAATAAGTGTGAGCTAATGATTCCCTATCCAATGACATGGTTAACCTTGATGTCTACTTGACAGGCTCCAGGATGACTGTCAGATACGCCTCTGGACATGTCTCTGAGGGATTCTATAGTCTCTAGAGGAGCTTATCTGGGATAGGAATAGCCATTCTACATTTGGGCAGCACAGTTCTGTGGGCTCAGGTCCTACATACCATGAAAAGGGCAAGGCAAGCTGAGCACCAGCATCCATCTCTCTCTGCTTCCTGACTGCAGATGCCTGTGACCAAGCAACCTCAGCTCCTACTGCTAGGATTTCCTGCTATGGTGGCTAAAATAAACCCCCTTCCTTAAATTGCTTTCGTTGGGTATTTTAACCCCAGTAACATGTAGAGTAACTTAATACTTCAACAGCAATGTCACAGGTAAACTGTCTTCAGCATTCTAGAACTTAAGGAACACAGATCTATAAACTCTCCCTGTGACCCTCTAGGACACAAGCTTCAGAAATCCAAAATAATGGCATACATCTTGGCATAAGGACTACTGGCAAACATCACATGCATACTTGCAGAATTAAGACTGAATTATGGTTGAGAGAAGACTGTGTATAAAATACTGTGTTCTGACACTATAAATACTCTTCCAATACTCTAACTAGTGGGCTAGAAAGTTATGAGGGTCTCACTCCCTCTGTTCCTTCTGTCAGCTAACGTTTGCAGGACCTATAGGCTTGGGACAAGAAACATTTTTGGGATCAAACTTGACCTAGGAGGTCTTCTGTATGCTTCGAATAAGTTTTGCTTTTATTAGTTGATAAAGATGTTTTGACCAATGGCTAGGCAGAATATAGGTAGGCGGGAAATCCAAACAGTTATCAGAGAGAAAGAAGGCAGAGCCAGGGAGATGCCATGTAACCACCAAAGGAGTAACATGCTGGAGCATTATTGGTAAGCCACAGCTTTGTGGCCATACAAAGACAAATAGAAATGGGTAAATTTATAAGAGAGAACTAGCCAGTAATATGTCTGAGCCATTGGCCAAACAATTATATTTAATATTAGCCTCAGAGTGCTATTTCATAAGCAGCTTCGGGGACCTGGTGAGCGGGAGAAAAACTGGTCCCGTGGGAGCGGGTGTGACAGAGAAAAACTTCCAACTACACAGACAGTCGTAGCCAAACACATGGTTCAGCTTGACACCGCCTGCATCTATGCAGTTAGGGAGTTAATTTACAACACACAGAAAATGAAGAAATAAGTGGGAGCTACATTGCTTGCTGAACAGCAGAAGCGACATGGAAATAAAGAATGTGAGTGTGGTCTGAGTAAGAATGGCCCCCATAGGCTCATCTGTTTGGATGCTTAGTCCATAGGAGGCAGCACATTTGAAAGGATTAAAAGGATTGGTATGGCCATGTTGGAAAAAGTGTGTCACCGAAGGTGGGCTTTGAGGCTTCAAAAGCCCATGCCAAGCCCAGTGTCTTCCTCTGCCTGCAGATCAGTTAAGTAGCCCTCGGCTACCTGCCGTGCCTGCCGCCATGCTCCCTGACATGATGATAATGGAGTGAGCCTCTGAAACTGTAAGCACGTCCCCAGTTGAATGCTTTCACTTACTGGAGTTGCCATGGTCATGGTGCCTCTTTACCACAGAAGACTAAGGCAGTGAGAACGAACAACGTTGCACTGGACTGAAAATGAGAGGTGAGTTATGTGTATACGTGTGATATGTGGGTTACAGACACCAGACACATGAAAAATTAAAATAATCACTTTCTCATAATGGAATGCCAACACAAACAACAGATGCACATACAGGACTGGACACAGTGATGATACTCCTATAGCAATGACCATCTATATCTATCTCAGCTTCTGTATTTCTCAGCTTCTGTATCTCACTGCACCAAAAGGAGGCAGGAATAGTGGGGAGCTGATTCCTTTGGGCAGAAAATATAAAACTCTTATGGGCTAAAAAGTAAATAAGTTCAATAAATGGTGAAGGTATGTCAAAAAAGACTTTGAAAGCAGGACACCCTCTGACTAACCTTTAGCACCAAAATAATGATGATGAGAGGCTAAGTGGGAATCCATGAATCCATTCAGAACAAAAAGAATCGAGAGCAACTAACATATGATGAAGGAATTAAAACTCCACTTTTTTTTTTTTAACAACTACCAGAACTTAATTCAGAAAAAAAATCATCGATGCACATTACAAAGAGATGGAAAGTGTGTTGAGGAATATATTTATACAGTTTCAATGATGTCTCCCCACAAAATATTTATTAATTACAAAATAATTAATTATAAAGTCAACTTTATAGTAGAAAAATGTGTTGCTCAACAGCTTAATTGGGAGAGCAGGTAGTCTCAATAGGAAAGTCCAAATTAAAATTATGTGTCTCTTGATAAGTTACACCAAGAACAAAACATCAATTCTATGGTCTTCCTGCAAAAAACAAAACAAAACAAAACAAAACAAAAAAAAAAAAAAACCTGAGAAAATGTCAATCAAACCCAAACTTCAGGGAATTCTATAAAATAATTAATTATACTCACCAAAAACGCCAAAGCCAAGAAACAAAAAATACGATGATGTATACAAACTATCCTGCTCCCCCCCCCCTTCACCCCTGTGCCCCAACAAAAAAACAACACAAGCTGGAGAGAGAGTGGCTTTAGCGGTTGAGAGCACAGGGGGCTCTTACAGAGAACCCAGGTTTGGGACCCAGCATCTTCAAGGTGGCTAACTGCAGTTCCAGAGGATCTGATGCCCCAATTTGGTCTCTGCAGGTACTGCTTTAACATAAACATTGAAGTAGGCAAGCCACCCACTCATGCACATAAAAGTAAAAGGACAAATAACTCCTTTTAAAATGTTTAAAAGGTCTAGGGCTCAGTGGTAGGAGCATCTGATACTCATGGGTTTGATTCCCAACACCCACATAGAGGTTCACAACTGCCTGTAACTCCATTTCCTGGGGACCTGACACCTTATGTCCTCTGAAGGCTCCTCAAAACATGTGGTGCTCATAAACTCATCTAGGCTTACACATATAAACACAAATAAAAAAACAATTAATAAAAACGTTTTTGTTGTTGTTTCTTGAGACAGGGTTTCTCTGTGGCTTTGGAGC